GGAGACAAAAAAGGAAGCACAAAAAAAAATTTAAAAACACACCTGTTACCTTTTTAGAGTGCTTACACTTGATTGATGAGTTCACAATTAATCACCTGAGTGTCTGAACACCTGACAGCCATGTTTGATCAGTCAGATCACAGGTGTGGTATTTTGAAATGTGGTGCTTTGAAATGGTGAAGAAGTGACATCATGTCAGATTTCTGTGTCTAATGTAGAGAAGTGTGTTTAGTGGTCTGCAAAACACTGTGTTTAGTGTTTTGCTAAAGTGTGAGGCTGAGAAAGTGCTTATAGTAGTGCAGATCTAAGGTTTTACTCCTTCAGTGTCATGTTTCACTAACAAAATTTAGCATGTAAGCAATTGTAAAAACTGTTCTATCTAAACTGGTAACATTATTGTATCCCTTATGGCAGATATTTATTAAATTTAAAATTTGTTGAGTATGTTTTACTGCTACTTCAGTTAATGCAGGATTCAGCCCAAACACATGTGACTGTGATCAGTCTCAGAACTTTTTCTCCTGTAATATCACATTTGGCTTTAGTTTTGTTTGTACTCAAAAAGCTTTTCTGAATTATGTAGCCAAATGAAATATTTTCAGATTGTGACTGCATTATGCAAAAAACTGCTCAAGTACTTAAACACCTTTTTTTCTTGATACACATTGTTGGGAGTGGCCTTTACACATATAAGAAATATTAATGCAATATTATGATTAATAACAGCGTGCTTAGAGAGATAAAATGTGTTTTCCATTATACATGAGTTGTTACTCTTTTCAAAAACTCATTGCATCCAAAATTGTTACAGACAGATATACAGCATTTTGGGATGAAAACCTTTTACTTGTACTTAAGGAAATGATCTCTATGGTAACAGTACTTTTTAAGTAGAGATTTTCAGTACTCTTTCCACTACTGGTTAGCAGTACAGCAGTTTATGTGGACTAAACTGTGTACCAGTTTTCACTGCTTTGGCCCATCACTGTGTACTGCAGTCATTCCATTAGCCTTATAACATTTTGTTGTATAATAATGAACATAACAGTACTGTTTAATGCAAAAACCTTTATGTTATAAGTACTTTTTTACCACCGCGAGTCTCATAAAGTGGCAACCCAGCGGTGCCCCTCTTCTCACACTGGGGCTGAATCTAAGATGACTCCCTGCTCCCTACGCTAGAATTTAAACACAGGTTCCTGCACTCCAACAGTGCATAATATAGCTAAAACATTATGGGATCATTTGGGATTCAGCCACATCCACACAAAAAAAAAAACAGTGCACTATTTGGCTGTAGAAGCTAGAATTTCTAAACCTCCATAGCTAGCGCACTATTTAGGGAATACAGAGCTGTCTGAGATTCAGCCTGGGTTTGATGTGACTTCTGACTGGACATGGTCCATAAACTATGAATCTTTTAGTCCTAGACATGCTCTCTAAATTATGGATCAGTAGCTCTAGCCATGGTCCCTAGACTATGAATATTCTAGCCCTAACAGTGGTCCTAAAACTATGGATCTTTCAGCCCTTTTCAGGGTCCTAAAACTATGGATCTTTTAGCCCTAGTCATGCCTGTAAATTATGGATTTCTTAGTCCGAGCCATGGTCTCTAAGCTAGGGAAATTTTTTGCTCTATTTGTGGTCCTTAAACTATAGATTATTTAACCCTTGCCATGCTCCCTAAAATATGGATCTTTTAGCCCTAGCCTTGGTACTTAAACTTTGGATCTCTATGTTCTAGTCATGATCCACAGAGTATGAATCTTTTAGCTGTAGCCATGGTCTGTAAACTATGTATTTTTAAGTCCTATAGTCTTGACAGTTTTGAAGATATTTGCAGCCTCTTTGTTCTGTATTACTACTGTAATAAATTTGTCCTTTTTTTAGATATTTCACTGAATCTGCTGACAATAAAAGCAAGATTACAACTTGTTCATTAAGAATTACACAGTAAGTCCCAGACATGTTTCCACTGTGATGCTTAATTTACAACAGTAAAGAGAGCACATATTACAGATTCTATTCACACACTCCTGAATATGTAAACAACCCCTTACCAATAATTGTATTGAACAGATCTAGACTATCGGCTACACTGTACCTTGTATTGGAGTTTAGCCTCTCTATGAAATGGGAAAACAGTTTTTCAGGAGGTACCACATAAACACCCTTTAAAGTCAGATGATTACAGTACTGTGGAAAAGTCAGAGACCACCATTCATTCATTTAATTTCCAGTTAAAACAGCCATTAAAAGGGATGTAGGATCTAAACATTTCCCAATTCACGCTCTCAAAATATGGAAATTAAGGTACAAAAACAGTCTGATTTGAATGTACTGTTTTTGTGATGCCATGAAAACTGATGCATTTGCATTTATCCACTTATTCAGACTACATTAATTCAGCCCCACCCAGCCCCCATTCTAGGGGATAACGACAGATTGTTAATAGTCATGTACAAATGAATTAGGACTGTATTCGATACAAACACCACACAAATATCATAAGTGGACCATGGAGAAAACAAAATAAAAATAATGCAGACTACATTACCTTCAAGCGCAAGTTATTCATTTTACAACCCTGTTTCCAAAAAAGCTTGCTGTCCAAAATAAAAACGGAATGCAATGATGTGCAAATTATTTAAACCCTGTATTTGATTGAAAATAGTACAAAGACAAAATAGCAAATCCTGAAACTGAGGAATTTTACTGTTTTAAACATGTTTACCACTGTAATTAAATCACCTCTGTAAGCATTTGGGAACTGAGGAAACTAGCTGCTGTAGTTTTGATAGTGAAATGTTTCCCCATTCCTGCTTGATATATGATTTCAGCTCTTCAACAGTTTGGGGTCTTCAACAGTTTGGGGTTTCATAATGCGCTAAATGTTATTAATGGTTGGCAGGTCTGGACTGCAGGCATACGGTGGCCAACAAGACCCTATTCACAGTACAATTAAAAACATGTTGGTGCTGTTGATGCAACTCATTAACACACTTCAAACACAGAGAACACTTATCGAAAGGACTACATCTTAACTACATTTTACAAATGCACTGCAAATACAGAAAACACTTTCAAATTTTAATTTTTCGGATGACAGGACACTTTTCCACTTTGCCTCAGTCCATTTTAAATGAGCTCGTGCCCAGAGAAGGCGGCAGTGTTTCCGGATCCTGTATATATGTGGTTTCTTCTTTGCATCCTAGAGCTTTAACTTGCATTAATGGTTGTAGCGATGAACTGTTTACAAACAGTGGTTTTTGGAAGTGTTCCTAAACTCATGCAGTGATTTTCTTCTAATGATCTTCTAATGATATTATGTACCATAGATGATGGAATCCCCAAGTTCTTTGCTATTTTATGTTGAGAAACATTATTTTTGAATTGTTTCACTATTTGCCTGCACAGTCTTTCACAGAGTGGTGAACCCATCCTCATCATTCTACCAGGTGTATGTTTTAGCATTACACAAATTTTCCAGTCTTTTGTTGCCCCGTCCCAACTTTTTTGAAACAAGTGGTTGGCATCAAATACAAATTTTTTCAAATACAATACAGCTTCTTAGTTTCAACATTTGATGTTTGTACTAATTTCAATTAAATATAGGATTTAAATGATTTGCTCATCATTGCATTCTCTTTTCATTTACATTTTGCACAGCGTCCCAACTTTTTTGAAAACAGGGTTGTACATTTTTCACATGTTCATATTTCATGTGCAACCGATTGACCCATTTGAATCATGTAAATTCAAAGCACCTTTTTTCAGTATATTTGCGTAGCTTTTGACTTGAGTGCTACTACTGTAATTAGTTCTCACTTCAAAAATCAACAAAATATGTAATTTGGCTGGGGGTGGCCAAACGTTTGTGTGCAACTATTCCTATTCATATCTGACCTATTTGTGAGGCTTTAGGAAAGCTTAAAAACTTGTTTTAAAGGGGTAGAAATATGACCAAACACCCTTACTCATTCAACAACATGGAGAACATCAGAGAATATACAGGTAAATTAAGACAAAACATCTTCATAAGTGAGGCAAAGTCTATAAAAATAGCTTCACACCTGCAAATACCCATCTACACTATTAGGGCTGAACCTGCCTGAAACTGGATGCAGGTGTATTTTGCCACTGTACACACAGTCAGGAGGTTTGAGAGGCAAAACTGCCTCTAATCATCATTTAGACAATCATAGGAGTCAGGATTCTGGGGTCACCAAGTGCCTAAAATTACAATCAGATGCCACCACCATGCAAACACACTACTTGGAAGGTTTGTCAGGTGATGTAGGGAGTTTTAAAACTTTTTTTTTCTGAACGCAAAGCCATATGCAGTTTGGTACACTTGATCACGTGTGAAAGCTGGTTAAACTTCATGTTTCAAGTTCTTCTTCATCTTTATTTATACAAGGTGGGTCAAATAATATTTTGTAGATGCACAATGCAAAACATCCCACAGGTGTACTGTGTACTTACACAACGCATGCGAACCACCTTGTAATAACCACCGAGTTCATCACACCTCAGGATGCTAGTAGTGATGCTGGTAGAGCATAAAACTGGGCAACTGATCCACAGTACAGAGGTATTTCTGAAAGAAACAGTCTCAGAATCCCCCTAGAATCTCATCCAGTATTATGAGAGAAGACTCAATAAAACATGTTTTTGAGGTAAAAAAGGACATTATGTTCTGAATTATAACCTCTGTGAAGATTATATTTCTCTAACATTTTCAGTGTCAGATAAACCCTGAATGTTTTTTCTTTTCTGTTGGTTTTTTGCTATATCCTTTAAATGGGATGTTACAAACCACAAAGGGCAAAAACAATCAAGCCTGTTTTGTTATATGTTAAAATTGATATAAAATGACAAGTAATTTTGATCGTTAAACTTTTTAGCTCAGAGCTAAAAAACATTGCATAGCATACACCACGGTAAATGAGTTGAATTAATGACTTGAGTGGTCACCAACAAATGAATAAATAAGAGCAGAACAGTCAAACACAGTTTAATTTAAAATTTAGCATGTACAGAGGAATAGTAACCATTACAGTGGGTTAAATTTACTGTACAATGATTACAGGCAGCATCATCACAATCAGACAAACACAGCAACACACTAACTTTCCAACTCCAGCTTTGACAGTGTCTGCTACAAGGCATCAAAGAGCAGTATGCAAAGTACTCACCACCCCCAACCTAAGCATACTATTCAAACACAAGTGACAACTATCTTGGGAGCATTAACAGCAGACCAGGAACGTGACAATATAACTGAATTACAAGCAACATAATAAACAAACAAATCAAAGTGAAAAGTGTAAAACTATTTCAAACATTAATCAAAAATAAATATTTCAGTTGAAGCCCAAGAGTTCATATAGTACCAATAATAACCTTGTGAACTCATAAATACATTCATATTGTGTATCCTTACAGACTAACACCATTTTTACACAAGCGTCAGCGGAGTGTAACGCACTAATTTCTTTGAGCAGATTCAGATTCGTAACTTAATAGAGCCTGGAGTGGCATACTATTATAGTACAGAGTGATTAACTGACAGTGACAAACACAAAACCACAAGTGCACTAAAATATGTCCAAAAAATCTAAATGCAAAAAACTGCAGCGTGTTTAAATAAATAAATACATGAACGACCTGTGCAAATGAAAACCCTCTGTAGGGAGTGAGCCTTCTTCAGTAGTCTAGGCCAGATATCCAATTTTCTAAGCATTATGTATATAAATAGATCCCAAAGCCATGTGTTTTGTGTTTGCAGAAACCAAGACATCATGCAGATGGGCGGGGCAGCAGCCTGCATACAATCTCATGCAGTGAGGTCATGATGATGACAATCATGATGACATGGCAGTGACAAAATTTCAGCTTCATTCAGAATAATGAAGAACATATGCTTTACAAGGGCCTTCAGCTCTAACAATAGCCAGATATCAAGTTGGTTTCAGCAGTCATTATAAAGTCATGGGGGCACTGCCCTGTCCCATGCATTTAACCAGTATCACTTACATAGAACAGCAATGGATTCAGATGGATAGTAATATGTATATATAAATATGGTTTAATAACCCAATTCCCTTATTAGTTATAAAGTAGACAAAACTGGGACTCCACATCTCTGGGTGACTTGGTGTCATCACTTTTCAACAGATCGTCTACCCCTTAGAGAACAGATTATGTTTTTCTAAAGTTAATTTAACTTGTATCAACATAACGGAAGAAGTTGCTCTAGAGGTTCTCTAAAAATTTTATGATTAGTGCAATAGCAGGGAGCTGATGATCAGGGATATGGTGCTGCTCAGCACTAGTATGACGCTGTGGCTGAAGGGCCTGGGCTGCTCTCCACCTCCTCTGAAAGACTCGTCACCACTGCTGCGGTCTTGGATCTGCTTCTGAGCGTGGTGCTCTGCATAAGCCATGTAAAGTTCAATACAGCGTCGGGCTTTCAGTTGCTCGATCAGCGCGGGATAGCCGATCTCCATTATGCTTACAGTATCGTCTTCCTCCCTCTCCTCCCAAGGTTGAGGGGGTGGCTCAGTAGCACCGGTAAGCTTTGCAGCAACAGGTAGAGGGCTATCTGTAATGTTAGCGGACTTGCTCTCTATTCCAGGGCTCTCACTTTGTGCACTACTATCTGACACCTGAACCTCTGCTGCCCCAGCTGGTTTCTCTCCTTGTGTGATGTTTGTATCACCTCCTTGAACATTGTCTGATGCCCCCAGTGGCTGTGTATCTTCAACAGATCTCTTACTTCTGCCAGCCGGTTGCCCTCGCAGTAAGTCTGTTCTGTTCATACAGCGATCCATGTATGTGTCATACGACTGCGGTGGAGGGTTTTGGAAGATATCGTAAGCATTGCTGACTCCTGAGCCAGTGGAGCTTGTTCCAGAATCACCTGCTCCACCACCTGGAGAGCTGGGGTTTGTGTTACTGTCAGAGGGTCTAGTGCCATAACGTCTGTACATGTAGTGGTTATAGTAATATTCTTCCTGTGGGCTGTGAAACGCAAAGTGTGGGCGCGGGAAACTGCCCAGGCCATAACCTAATGCCATGCCTGCCACAGCACCAACTCCAGCGGCCATTACTGCTTGCCTACCAAAGCCCTTTGACTGTATAGAGGGCCTCATACCCATATTATGCACAGACTGGGCAAAAGGAGAGCCTCCAGCTCCAGGATATCCATAACCACCATACCCAAAGTTTCCACCATAACGAGGGCTGATAATTTTATTGTTGGGGTTCCAGTAGGGGTACTGTGCTGCTCCAGGGTATCCTCCTGCACCTGCCACACCACCATACTGGTTGGGAGAGGAACCGGGATAAGATGCGCCTCGTACTGGGTAACCAGGGTAAGAGCCTCCTTGAGGATAAGGGTTGCCATACCCCCCACTCCGTCCTGGGTAGTTGTTGGGGTATGAACCTGCACCTGGATATGATCCTGCTCCTGGATAGCCTCCTTGACTTGGATAGCGTCCTTGTCCGGGATATCCTCCCGGATTAGGGTACCCTCCCTGATTGGGGTACCCTCCTTGATTGGGATACCCTCCTTGATTGGGGTACCCTCCTTGATTGGGGTATCTTCCCTGACTGGGGTACCCTCCCTGGTTGGGGTATCCTCCCACACCACCTCTTCCTGGGTAGGAGCCTGGGTACCCTCCACCAGTGCCAGGGTATGGTGGTGGATTTTGGTTAGGCACTTGAGGTTGACGAGGGTAATTTGCTGGTTGTGAGCGTGTTCCACTTGATGATGACCCTTTGGTGCCTGTTCCTTTACTACTTGAGCTGCCTCCTTTGCCCCAGCTGAAACCCCCTTTAAAGCCACCACCTCCTCCTCGTCTTGCCATGACTGAAGCCACCAAAGCCAGGCAGATGCACACCACTCCAAGACGATTCATCTGTGGAGAGAGAGAGGAAGTTTTAGTTTAGAAAAATGTGAGCAGAACATCTGAACATTAGAATAGTAGGTATTATATCTAAAAATGAAAATTCAGATGAACGGAATGTTTCTATAATATGAAGCCAATATTGTGGCATGTGCAAAATTAAAATGGTTCTAATGACACCAGTAACTCCATAGGTTTAAAACCAAACTGGCAAAAAGGTATAAAAAAGTGGATGATGAACACAGCTGTAGATGTAAGGGTGGGTAACATGCCAAAACTACAACTAGGGGTGGGCGATATGGTAAAAATTTTACAAGATTTTACAAAGATATTTTCACAACATATGTCTCACAACAATGCCTCACGATACTTAGTTTTTCAGAATTTTATCAAGTTGAAAAAGACAAAATAAAACCTGTAGTGTCACGTGTACAAAGTACTATAGTAATAATAAAAATACTCCACTACAATGACAGCCCAGCTCGGTCAAATGTTAGCCAATGAATTATCTAGTTAAAGTCTTGGTAAGGCAGCTTACAATAATATTAGTGAAAACTGTTAGGGTTAGGGTTATGGTTAGTTACTTCCCAAACCACACTAGCTACTGTAAAATGTTCCTTCAAAATAAAAGAGCTTTATTTAATTACACAAATACAGCACAATTTCTCTGAAACAATTTATTTCAACAATAAACAATTTTAACAAACTTTTATTTAGCTAACAAACTTGTAACTAGCATTAATGTGAGCTACCTCACCTACGCTTTAGCCAGCTAACTTAGGTCCTCTTGCTAGCTAACTGGCTAACTTCTGCCCAAGCTGGGGCTTCCTTTGCCCAGCCCGGGTCTTGGTCAGCAGGGCTGCAGCTAGATGTCGCTCAAAATTAATGCTGGCCGAATTATATTTTACATGATTCAAATACTCATTGGTGTTTTCATAGTAATAAAGCTTTTAAAGGCAAAGACGCTGCAATTAACTATGGTGTAAGTCATGTAGCCTACCAAGCAGTACTCAGACAAAGATCATTACACTTAGACCTACATACATAAACATAAAAGCTCCATAATTATTGGCACCTTTAATAAAAGTAGGTTTAAAAAAAGTACATGAAAAATGACTGTGGTTATTTAGATCAACCGCACACTGAAAATAAAAGAAATGAAAGAAATGTAAGAAATGTAACTGACAAAAAAAATTGTCTAAAAACATCACGTCACCCCTAGAGAAATTCCTATGAAGAAAATCTAACTCAATGGAAACCTATTCCCACTCATATTTCTCTTTTTTTGAGGAACTCTTATGTGGTCACCCATGACTTCTTGTTTCACTGGGGTATAAGTACGAGGTGACACAGAGGCCAAATTCCCCTAGTCATTTATCAACATAAAGAAGAGACAAAATTGTGTTGACCTTTGTAAATCATCCAATGGTTATGGAAAAATAGCTACGCTCCTGGAAATGCCGTATTCACTGTTATGGTAATAGTTAGGAGCTTTAAAGGTGCCACAGAAGGGTAAACTGTGTTTACATTGGCATGGTTGAATAAGGAGAGCGTGGTATACAGAAATGACATACGTGAACCTCAAGCAATGTTGTACAAATCCTGCATTTACAAATGAGGGAGGTGAAACGGTCAGATTCCAAAATCCTAAACTGTTATGTGACAGTTTTGACTCATTAATACAAGCTACAGCTTGTACAGGTGCCAGAATGTAACTGTGGGACCATGTAAGGAAAATTTGCAAAACAAGCTGGCAAATAGGAAGCCAGCTTCAGCCTCGTTTAAAGATGAACAACAGCCCCCACATCTTTAACAGGATCCTGGACAACTCTGAATTAAAGTTTTTAGTTTGCTTGCACATTTCACTCTGAACAGCTTCTTAAACATTGGACAATATCAAGCAGGCTTCGCTCAGCGTTTCACACTGTGAAGACTGAAGAGAGGGCAGTTCCAACTTTATTAGCATCATAGACCCCCAACAGCAATCTGTAAATAGCCATGCTGTGTGATTTTATCCACTCTTTGACGGCTGAAGCCAGATCATCTTAAATTTAAAGTTTCATAGTGAGCTAACAACTTTAATTTACAACCCCATTTCCAAAGAAGTTGGGACGCTGTGCAAAATGTAAATGAAAACAAAATGCAATGATGTGAGAATCATTTAAACCCTATATTTATTTGAAAATAGTACCAAGACAACATATCAAATGCTAAAACTGAGAAATTCTATTGTTTTTTTTAAAATATATATGCTCATTTTAAATTTGCTGGCAGCAACACATTCCAAAAAAGTTGGGACGGGGGCATGTTTACCACTGTGTTTCATCACCTCTTCTTTTAACAAAAGTCTGTAAGTGTTTGGGAACTGAGGTGACACTGCTGAAATTTAGAAAGTAAAATGTTTTCCCATTCTTACCTGATGAAGGATTTCAGCTGCTCAACAGTTCAGGGTCTATTTTGCTGTATTTCTTGTTTCATAAAGTGCCAAATTTTTTCAGTAGTGACAGATCTGGACTGCAGGCAGGCCAGTTTAGCACCCAGACTCTTTTATTACTAAGCCATACTGTTGTAACATGTGCAGAATGTGGTTTTATATTGTCTGGCTGAAATAATCAAGGCCTTCCCTGAAAAAGATGTCGTCTAAATGGCAACATATGTTGCCAAAACCTGTTTATATCATTCTGCATTAATGGTGCCTTCACAGATGTGCCACGTGCTCTAACGCCACCATCAAGGATGCTGGCTTTTGAACCGCGTGCTGACAACAGGCCTGATAGTCTTTAGCCCGGAAGACACAGTGTCCATGATTTCCAAAAAGAATTTCAAATTTTGATTCGGCTGACCACATAACACTTTTCCATTTCCCCTCGGTCCATTTTAAATGAGCTCAGGCACAGAGAAGGTGGTGGCATTTCTGGATCCTGTTTATATATGATTTCTTCTTTGCATTGTACAGTTTTAGCATTTATCGATGTGGTGATGAACTGTGGTTTTCAGAAGTATTCCTAAGCCCATGCAGTGATCTCCACTACAGAATCTGTTTTTAATACAGTGCCGCCTGAGGGCCCAAAGTTCTTGGCTAGCCAATACTAGTTTTCAGCCTTGTCCCTTGCATACAGAGATTTCTCCAGATTCTCTGAATCTTTTAATGTTATTATGTACCGTAGATGATGAAAAGCAAATGTTCTTTTCTATTTTACACTGAGAAATGTTATTCTTGAATTGTTGCACTATTTGCCCATGCAGTCTTTCACAGAGTGGTGAACCCCTCCTCATCTTTACTTCTGAAAGACTCTCTGAGATGCTCTTTTTATACCCAATCATGTTATTGGCCTGTTGCCAATTAACCTTCAGGTGCTAGCATTACACAACTTTACCAGCCTTTTGTTGCCCCATCCCAAGTTTTCTGGAATAAGTTGCTGCCATCAAATTCAAAATGGGCAAATATTTTTCAAAAAACAATATAATTTTTCAGTTTTAACATTTGATATGTTGTCTTTGTACAATTTGCAAATAAATATAGGGTTTAAATTATTCACACATCATTGCATTTTGTTTTTATTTTACATTTTGCACAGCATCCCAACTTTTTTTGAAATGGAGTCGTACTTTGTATTGTTCAGATCGAAAGCAAGTAGCTAGTACAGGTAACGTTAGCTACTAGCAAGCTCCAAGTAACAGGCATAGCTAAATAAACAGTATGATGACCTAGTTTATTTACACAGAGGTTCATATTATTTTCTTGTCTGTGTCTATATCGACATGTTGCTTCTGTGTGAGCCATTGCGGTGCCTCACTGTAAATAAGCAAATGGAAGCAGAGCTTATCAAATTATCCATGAGCCCAGCATAAAAGAGAAAACAGCCTATTTAGTCTAGGGCCAAATGACAGGGTTGTAAAGGGTCGTGTAAAACCACATCTGGACATTTTACGCCCCAACCAAAGTCACATACCTTCTATGTAGACATCAAAGAACTATTAAAAATGCTGAATAAATGCATTCTATGGCACCTTTAATACAATCAGAGCCATAGCAAACTGGATTGGAATCAGCACACAAACATATTTGCCCCCACATGCACACTGAGGCCTACGGCGAGAGAAGCAAAAATTCTTTAAGGATAACGACTGGAGATCTGCAGAAGTAATACTTTAAGTAGGTTTTAGGGAACAATCATTTAAATTAACAAAGTACTTAGTGTTACGAAGGTTTTGGGAATAGCACCTCAGGGCAGTGGGTCCCTAGGAGCAGGAACAAGTAACACTGCTCTGTAGCAAAATATTTAAAACCATTTGGACAATAACTGTGTTTAAGCTTGTAAATTTCTTGTGTTCAGGGGAAAAAAAACATAAATATCTTGTGAGCTAGTCAGAACAACACAGGTTTGGTTCCTAACTTTGATTCCCCTGGCCATTGCATGGATTTTATTACAATTAATACTGGTCTGCCATGAGGAGAGGTTAAGAAATGGTCAAACAGACACACAAACACACTGATATACATAAATCCACTACTTAGTATATTCAATGTTAGTGCTTATTCTAATATTCTAGCAATATTGTGTTTTTCTAAGCAAATAAATGCTTACTGCCCAATTAAACAGAATACAGAATACCTCGTACTGTCAAAGCTTGATCAGGATAGGTTAGAAAAAATGGACTTTAAAAAATGACAATATATTATTAATTTATATTAAATATTATTCTCTTATTGTTTCACAAATATTTTTGACCATCACTTTTTGTCTCTGGGGTCTATTTAAATACACACTGTGTAGTTACTATTGAATATATTCACAAAAAAAGGTATCAAAATGCCAAGTGATTCCACATGTTTGAGTGGAGCTAGCAGGATGTAAGAAGTCCACAGAGCTGGGCCCCGAGGTAATGGAACCCAAGAGGAGTTGGCTGCATTAATGTTCACTACTAAGAACTTAATTAAAATACCTAGACAGGTTACGCACCAGGAATATTTGGTTGTCGTCCTCACAATATTATTGGTCCCACATGCGAATGGACCACATACAACGATAGGTAAGGCTTGCTGATGAGATACTAGAATAATGCAGAATCATGAAGTGGGTTCGCTACATAAGCGTCGCACGGGGATTCACATGTATTCACTGTAGACTTCTTTCGAACACTATACGTAACCGTTTGACTGGTTCTAGAACAATCACAGTTAAAACTACATGTCCCATAAACACCCGCACTCTACCCTGGCTAGCGTTACAGCGTGGTTCATCTTAGCACGATAGACAAATTTATTGAGTATATTCACTGAGAGCAGACAGGGACCAAACAGGGTCACAGCTCTAATTCTGTACCACTGTTTAACTCAAACTGTATCTTCAGAGTGATTCTAGTATAGCCTAACTGCTTCTGTTAGCTATTTATCATCATCTTTAGCTATAGCTTTGGGGTAACTACAAGCACAATGCCCGGATGAAACAGCGGTATCTGATTTGTTCAAACCACGCCCACTTTGGTTTATGGGATGTGTAGTTTGTTTGCGAAGTTGACTACAAAAAAGAACTACAATTCTTACATATTTACGTTGACGAATATATATATACATAAATGTTTGACGAGTCCAGATGTACGCTTACACCACACAGGTGAATCCTGAAACTATACGGCTCGTCTGATTTCGAGTGACAGTAGATATCTAAAGCCTATTTTCGTTTCTCGTGCGAATTTCACCCCATGGTGCTCCAGTGGGCAGCCCCCCTGTTTATGAACCATTAACCGATGTTAGCTAGCTACCAAGGTAACGGCATCTCAACAGTACGATAACGTTAACAGTTGTATTATTCATCTCACCCGCTGAAGCCAATTAGCCACATTAACAGCAGTAGCTACGCGGCCTCTCATTAATAACACTGGTAGCCCTCATCCTATTTAATGTAGTGGAACAGAGGCTGGAGAGTTAACCTATCTTAGCAACGGACCTGTGCGTCACTTAACGTTATAAAGCAAATATCGGTGAAAAAATAACAGCTAGCTTTGTTTCCCTCCAAACACACCACCTATGTATTTAAACATAATAACCGGACCAGTCACAGCGCATTACGAGGTTTACATTACAGAAAACGTAACTTGTCCAGAAAAGCCGTAAGGCTGGCTTTTTCACCCACCTCTGTAGCTCGCTAAAGAGCCGCTCTGTCCTCCGGACGGGCTGCAGTCTCTGGACGAATTAAGTTATGAACCGAAGGAAAATAAACCTCTTCAGTGCAGAGACCTATCAGAAGGCCAGAGAGCCCGTCAGTGTTCAGCAAGTCTCCGAATGGCTATATTCTCACATCCGTTAAGTGCGGCGATTGGTCAGAAAGCCTTGACCAGTGTGACACGGAGTTAATCCGCCTCAGTTTCTTTAGAACAGACGGGCTCTGCGCAGCTGAACAGCATTTCTGACGTAACAGTAACAGTTACTGGTAAAACAGGTGAGATTTTATTTTAAATTGCTGATTCAGAGCCGCAGAATCAGCTGTGATTGGATGACCGTTTGTTGCACCAAGAAACATAACGGGCCACTACAACGACAGCAAGCAGCGCGAGCGCGCCGACGGCGTGACGTAGATTTTTCCGTTTGACTGGACACTTACCGGAAATGTCCATTCACTGCATTCACCAGCAGAAGGGCTGGATGCCATCACACCATTTTAATTACTAAATAGCTGAGTCAGAAAAAACGTCAGATTAGTAAAAAAATAAATAAAAAAATAACGACGAAAATCACTGTAAATCAATTCCTTTGTAATAAACAAGCAGAATGCCCGTTTGTACACCCAGTGCACACCACCACAACAAAATGTACACTTTTAACTCATCTCCAAAATTTCTCACCGCACTGAGAGAAGCACATCTCATTTAGGCATTTAACTTAGCAATTGTTAAAAATACCCCCCTCCACCCGCCCATTCAGCAGTGCAGTATTAGGAAAGAAAAACAGGGGAAAGAAGGAAAACAAACCCAGACTGTTAGGGGTCAGAGCTAGTTTGCTCAATGGAAAGTAGCTTTTTCTAGTGATGAAGTTGCGCATGGCGCTCCACAAACACTATAAAGGTCTGGACAGAAATGCTTCAGTTATCTTCATGAGGTGTAAAAATACCGTCCGGATAGGGTTTCTATTTTAAACACTGAACACATTCCAAACACTCATAAAACAAAGATTTGTGTTAAGTACTGTAAATCCTGGATATACTTCAAATCACAAACAGGTTTTAATTTAAAATTACAGTTACTCTATTACCAAGTCTATGAGTACAGAATGTAGATCAGGTTCTAAAAAAGTATTTACAGTGTTATTTATCAAAAAATAAAATAAAAGATATACGTAAGACTGACAAAACAGGAACTCAGATTAAGTAGAATCTGTCTGCTTCATTCCTTTTCAACAACTCAAAGCTATTGTTTATTATACAGGTTTTAAGGAGGAAATTTACATGCATGCCTCAGTGAAAATTTTTTTGTCTCACAAGATTACAGACCAAAGTGTCTCTTCTTGTGACCATCTGAATGTCATTAATAGCAGCTCCAATGTGAAGGCCATATTCCAGTGCAGGTAGGGCTAATTCACAAATTCCCATTAATAAACAACAGATCAGAAAGAAACATCTTAAAACCTTAACAAATGGAGGAGAGGGGGGGACTGGTCGCAAAACCGTTGATTTTGAACATATGATTCTTTTTTTCCACTACTCTAACTTCATATACATTTTTATAGCGCTTTATTAAAGTGAAATCCAGAGGTTTATATAAAACAAATGCAAAGTGTTTACATATAAGGTAAAAGTAAAATAGAAGACAAGAGTAAGACATCTCTCTGCTAGTTGGGCATGTTACCCATACGTGGAGGGGAGTGCCAGACAGCAGAGCTAGTACGTTTGAAGAAGCGTGGTTTGGTCTTTTGAAAGATTTTCTCCAGCCTGGGCTGTTCAATTTCCCCAAAGTAGGAGTCCAGATCTAGTGGGTCATAATAGCGCTTCATGATAGCCTGCTGAAGCTGCATACCTGTGGACAGAAACATGCTTAATATATTTTGACACCATAAAATGTGCATGTGTACTAGGATAATAAAAAAAGGCAGAGATTCATTCATTTTTGACAAAGGAATTAAATTATAAAACAATTTAAAAGGGAAGCACTTATTGCTGGTCAAAATAAAATGTAAGAAGTAAAAATGTAAATGTATGTATTCAGTACAAACAACACATCAGTATCACTGGGTATTGACATCAGGGCCTATAATCAGCAGAAAACGCTGTAAGAACGAATGTGATTCAATCCAGTAACAAGTCTAGCCTGAAACCACAGATCTTTTCAAAATCTTAAAAAGCGTATCAGTTTTTAAAGGCAGGAAACACTGAGACAGATAGGTATTAGCAATGTTGGGTTTTTTTTTAAAAAAAAAGAAAGACCTCTACTACTCAGTTTATAAAACACTATGACCACCTGCCTAATATGCTGTTGGTCCTCTGCGTGCCACTAAAACAGCTCCAACCTGCCAAGGCATGGACTCTACAAGACCTCTAAAGGTGCTTTGTGGTATCTGGCACCAATATGTTAGCAGCAGATCCTTTAATTCCTGCAAGTTGCGAGGTGGAGCTACCTCTTCAATTTGTTGTTCTAGCACATCCCACAGATACCCGATCCGATCAAGATTAGGGGAATTTGGAGGCCAGGGGAACACCTTGAACACTTCATGTTCCTCAAACGATTCCCAGTGTGTGCAGTAAGGCAGGGTGCATTATCCTGCTGAAATAGGCCACTGCCATCAGTGAATACCACCTCCATTAAGGGGTGTATCTGGTTGACAATGATGTTTAGGCACTTGTCAAATTGACATCCACATGAATGCCAGGACCCAGGGTTTCCCAGCAGAACAGCCTGCAAACCTAGCCATTTCGGAGATGCTCTGAACCAGTCATCTGGCCATAATGATTTGGCCCTTGTCAAAGTTGCGCAGGTCATCACATCTGCCCATTTCCCCCCCCATTCAGCACGTTCACTACAAGAACCGACTGTTCGCTTACAGCGTACTATATCCCAGACCTTGACACGTGCCATTTGTTATTCGCTTCATCAGTGAGTGGTCATGTTTTGCCCCATCAATTAAAAAAAACAAAAAACAAAAACAAAACAAACGAACACAAAAACCCCTTAAATAGTATCAAAATAGTTTAATCGAATCATGATGAAAACTAATTTCTTGATGTACCATTTGGCATCTAAAAATATAATCCATACAAACCCATTTATCATTTAAATCAATTTTTGCATTTATTTGTTACAAACATTAACATCAGAATAAATTAATGAAATTACTTGGGATATAATGTGTGTGTGTTTGCTTAACACTTTCCTTGGGTCAACTCATTTATTGCAGTCATCATCCAATACCTAGTTGGCTAATAAACCCTTACATTATTACATTTAACTACATCACATCTGCTGCTCATGGAATTTAACAAATCCATGCAATGGCTGGAGTGCACTGGGAAGTCAGGAACCATACCAAAGCTACTCTACTAACCAAGAAAAATAATTTTATACCAGTGTGGGGGAATGGGGTGGTTGTGGCAGGGGAATGCCATGTTTGTTTCTTACCCTCAGCCCAGGAAGGGATGGGTTTCCTGGGTGCTGATTCATCATCTGTTGAGTCATCACTGTTCTGGTCCATCCCGTAATCCTCTGGATTCACTAAAATGTCGATCTTCTTCCCTTTAGGTGTAATCTGGTAGGACTGAGGAGATTGCTGTAGGATGTAAACAAAAAAACAAAAACAAAAAAAAGCATATCAAGTCCTTATTATTGCATGAAGAGAAAAGTGTGATTCAAGAGCATCCTGTCATGTCAGCTCCCACCAAATTGTGCTGTTTAAAAACTGCAGATAAAGAGGATATTTGTCAATACACATCTATAGATATTTGCTCAAAAAATACATCAGCTGCTTAGATTTGACATCAGTTTTTTTAAAAATCAGTTTTTGATTATGTATTTATCTTTCTCCAGAAACTCCAAGGCCAGGTATGAAATCCTTTCAGGTTTCAGCTTGTGTTAGGCTATGTTTTGGCAGCAGAGGGCAGCACTGTACTTTACACCCAAAACAGTTCTCAGGACATCCAGATGGTCCACATTTTAATTCTATTCCTGTGTTTTAGGTTGTGTTGGAGCAAAAATGTGGACCATCTGGTGGTCTCTGAGGACTGGTTTGATAACCACTTCTCTAAAAAAGACATTTAGCCAGCCACCTGATAGTCAACATCTTTTCTTGGTATTCTTGTAGGGCAGCTCAAATGCGCAACTGTTTGGGTGATCCAGCAGGCGTCAACTCAGGGTGCACTAGCACACCACTGTGTTGATGGAGGAAAGACGCTTTCCTCGTACAACAAGAATGCAACTCTGACTGGAATCAAACTCAAGTCTCAGCAATGGAAAGTAAGGCCCAATCCCATTTCACCCCTTGTCCCTACCACTTAGCCCTTAGCCCTCTGTTTTGCACGTTCACGTCTAGGGTTAGGGTGTCCCAATTTTTGTTGAAATAGAGGGGTAGGGTGAAGTGTTAGAGCAACATGGCCCTCCAAACGGAGGTTTTTCAGAGACATACTCCAAACGGAGTGTTGTGGAAAAAAAAAAAAAGAAAAAAGAAAAAAGAAAAACCGACAAGATGGCTGCGTCAGCGACCAGGGAACCCCACAAATGTAAGTATTTTCTCCGTCAAAAATTATAATAACCATTGTATTATCTTAGTTTAATGTCGCTTGTGTATTAATGGTTGTTGTCTTCATAACAAGCATTTAAAAATAAATAAATAAATAAATAAATAAATAAATATTCGCTAATTGCATGCTAGTGTCTCAGTAGCTAGCTAGCTAATTTTCCCGTTCCACCTTAAATAGTCCAGCAGTTCTGCTGCCCCATTTTTTTAAGACAACATGGGAAAATTCAAACAAGAAGCTGGTGAATAGCTGACTTCAGCTTCTTATCACCAAAGAACTAGCGGTGGGCAATAATAAATGGTCTTATACCCCCTCTTTGAAAGCACATGAAGCCCTAAAAGTAACCAAAGCCCAGCAGTGAGGTTGCTGAACTTTTCCCTTCTCTGCCATCACTGAAGACGGGCCAGGTCGCCTACAGAGCACTGCTAGTAGCCTGTTGATGAAGCGATGTTTTTTTTCCTTTCTTTTTTTTTAATTTGAGGGTTGTCCCATTTCGTAGGGCAAGATTTCAACCACTGCCCCTTGTAACTCAGTTCCAAGGGGTTAGGGTGACATACGAAAACAAGGGGTAGGGGTAAAAAGAAGAAATGGGATTGGGTCCAAGTCTGCAATTTTATTAGCTGGCCCAGCTGTTCAGTAACCTCTGCTCTTTATTCTAACGCGATGAGTTAAACACAGTAAACAGAGACATGTTTAACTTACTTCTACATCTACAGTGACATTCAGCCCTGCTCCCTTGTCTATTGTCATGTTAGCTGCTCCTTTGCTCACAGGGGTCTTCATGACAGAGTGCTGAGAAACATGAACACACAAGCCATTTGACAGCAACAATACCTCTACAGGAT